GACGTACTGAGGTTACTGACGTACTGAGGTTACTGAGGTTACTGAGGTTACTGACGTACTGAGGTTACTGAGGTTACTGACGTACTGAGGTTACTGACGTTACTGACGTACTGAGGTTACTGACGTTACTGACGTTACTGAGGTTACTGAGGTTACTGACGTACTGAGGTTACTGACGTTACTGACGTTACTGAGGTTACTGACGTTACTGAGGTTACTGAGGTTACTGACGTTACTGACGTTACTGACGTTACTGACGTTACTGACGTTACTGACGTTACTGACGTTACTGACGTACTGAGGTTACTGACGTTACTGACGTTACTGAGGTTACTGAGGTTACTGACGTTACTGAGGTTACTGACGTTACTGACGTTACTGAGGTTACTGACGTTACTGAGGTTACTGAGGTTACTGACGTTACTGACGTTACTGACGTACTGAGGTTACTGACGTTACTGACGTTACTGACGTTACTGACGTACTGAGGTTACTGACGTTACTGACGTTACTGACGTACTGAGGTTACTGACGTTACTGACGTTACTGAGGTTACTGAGGTTACTGACGTTACTGAGGTTACTGACGTTACTGACGTTACTGACGTTACTGACGTACTGAGGTTACTGAGGTTACTGACGTTACTGAGGTTACTGACGTTACTGACGTTACTGACGTTACTGAGGTTACTGACGTTACTGACGTTACTGAGGTTACTGACGTTACTGAGGTTACTGAGGTTACTGAGGTTACTGACGTTACTGACGTTACTGAGGTTACTGACGTTACTGACGTTACTGAGGTTACTGACGTTACTGACGTTACTGACGTTACTGACGTACTGAGGTTACTGACGTTACTGAGGTTACTGAGGTTACTGACGTTACTGACGTACTGACGTTACTGAGGTTACTGACGTTACTGACGTTACTGACGTACTGAGGTTACTGAGGTTACTGACGTTACTGAGGTTACTGACGTTACTGAGGTTACTGACGTTACTGACGTTACTGAGGTTACTGACGTACTGAGGTTACTGACGTTACTGACGTTACTGAGGTTACTGAGGTTACTGAGGTTACTGACGTTACTGAGGTTACTGAGGTTACTGAGGTTACTGAGGTTACTGACGTTACTGAGGTTACTGACGTTACTGAGGTTACTGAGGTTACTGACGTTACTGAGGTTACTGACGTTACTGAGGTTACTGAGGTTACTGACGTTACTGAGGTTACTGACGTTACTGAGGTTACTGAGGTTACTGACGTTACTGACGTTACTGACGTTACTGAGGTTACTGACGTTACTGACGTTACTGAGGTTACTGACGTTACTGACGTTACTGAGGTTACTGACGTTACTGACGTTACTGAGGTTACTGACGTACTGAGGTTACTGAGGTTACTGACGTACTGAGGTTACTGACGTACTGAGGTTACTGACGTTACTGAGGTTACTGACGTACTGAGGTTACTGAGGTTACTGACGTACTGAGGTTACTGACGTACTGAGGTTACTGACGTTACTGAGGTTACTGAGGTTACTGAGGTTACTGACGTTACTGACGTTACTGACGTTACTGAGGTTAGTGACGTTACTGACGTTACTGACGTACTGAGGTTACTGAGGTTACTGACGTTACTGACGTTACTGAGGTTACTGACGTTACTGACGTTACTGAGGTTACTGACGTACTGACGTTACTGAGGTTACTGACGTTACTGAGGTTACTGACGTTACTGACGTTACTGAGGTTACTGACGTTACTGACGTTACTGAGGTTACTGACGTTACTGAGGTTACTGACGTTACTGAGGTTACTGACGTTACTGAGGTTACTGACGTTACTGAGGTTACTGACGTTACTGAGGTTACTGACGTTACTGACGTTACTGAGGTTACTGACATTACTGAGGTTACTGACGTTACTGACGTACTGACGTTACTGAGGTTACTGACGTTACTGACGTTACTGAGGTTACTGACGTTACTGACGTTACTGACGTTACTGACGTTACTGAGGTTACTGAGGTTACTGACGTTACTGACGTTACTGACGTTACTGAGGTTACTGACGTTACTGACGTTACTGAGGTTACTGACGTTACTGACGTTACTGAGGTTACTGACGTTACTGACGTTACTGACGTTACTGACGTTACTGAGGTTACTGACGTTACTGACGTTACTGAGGTTACTGACGTTACTGACGTTACTGAGGTTACTGACGTTACTGACGTTACTGACGTTACTGAGGTTACTGACGTTACTGACGTTACTGACGTACTGAGGTGACTGACGTTACTGACGTTACTGACGTTACTGACGTACTGACGTTACTGAGGTTACTGACGTTACTGACGTACTGACGTTACTGACGTTACTGAGGTTACTGACGTTACTGACGTTACTGAGGTTACTGACGTTACTGAGGTTACTGACGTTACTGAGGTTACTGAGGTTACTGACGTTACTGACGTTACTGACGTTACTGAGGTTACTGACGTTACTGACGTTACTGAGGTTACTGACGTTACTGACGTTACTGACGTTACTGACGTTACTGACGTTACTGAGGTTACTGACGTTACTGACGTTACTGAGGTTACTGACGTTACTGACGTTACTGAGGTTACTGACGTTACTGACGTTACTGACGTTACTGAGGTTACTGACGTTACTGACGTTACTGACGTTACTGACGTACTGACGTTACTGAGGTTACTGATGTTACTGACGTACTGACGTTACTGACGTTACTGAGGTTACTGACGTTACTGACGTTACTGAGGTTACTGACGTTACTGACGTTACTGAGGTTACTGAGGTTACTGACGTTACTGACGTTACTGAGGTTACTGAGGTTACTGACGTTACTGACGTTACTGACGTTACTGAGGTTACTGACGTTACTGACGTTACTGACGTACTGAGGTTACTGACGTTACTGACGTTACTGACGTTACTGACGTTACTGACGTTACTGAGGTTACTGAGGTTACTGACGTTACTGAGGTTACTGACGTTACTGACGTTACTGACGTTACTGAGGTTACTGACGTACTGACGTTACTGAGGTTACTGACGTTACTGAGGTTACTGACGTTACTGACGTTACTGAGGTTACTGACGTTACTGACGTTACTGAGGTTACTGACGTTACTGACGTTACTGAGGTTACTGAGGTTACTGACGTTACTGAGGTTACTGACGTTACTGACGTACTGACGTTACTGAGGTTACTGATGTTAGTGACGTTACTGAGGTTACTGAGGTTACTGACGTTACTGAGGTTACTGACGTTACTGAGGTTACTGAGGTTACTGAGGTTACTGAGGTTACTGAGGTTACTGAGGTTACTGAGGTTACTGACGTTACTGAGGTTACTGACGTTACTGAGGTTACTGAGGTTACTGAGGTTACTGACGTTACTGACGTTACTGAGGTTACTGACGTTACTGAGGTTACTGAGGTTACTGACGTTACTGACGTACTGACGTTACTGAGGTTACTGACGTTACTGACGTTACTGAGGTTACTGACGAACTGACGTTACTGAGGTTACTGACGTTACTGAGGTTACTGACGTTACTGAGGTTACTGACGTTACTGAGGTTACTGAGGTTACTGACGTTACTGAGGTTACTGACGTACTGAGGTTACTGACGTTACTGACGTTACTGACGTTACTGACGTTACTGAGGTTACTGACGTTACTGACGTTACTGAGGTTACTGACGAACTGACGTTACTGAGGTTACTGACGTTACTGAGGTTACTGACGTTACTGACGTTACTGAGGTTACTGACGTTACTGACGTTACTGAGGTTACTGAGGTTACTGACGTTACTGACGTTACTGAGGTTACTGACGTTACTGACGTACTGACGTACTGAGGTTACTGACGTTACTGACGTTACTGACGTTACTGAGGTTACTGACGTACTGAGGTTACTGACGTTACTGAGGTTACTGACGTTACTGACGTTACTGAGGTTACTGACGTACTGAGGTTACTGACGTTACTGAGGTTACTGACGTTACTGACGTACTGACGTACTGACGTTACTGACGTACTGACGTTACTGACGTTACTGACGTTACTGAGGTTACTGACGTTACTGAGGTTACTGACGTTACTGAGGTTACTGACGTTACTGACGTTACTGAGGTTACTGACGTTACTGACGTTACTGAGGTTACTGAGGTTACTGACGTTACTGACGTTACTGACGTTACTGAGGTTACTGACGTTACTGACGTTACTGAGGTTACTGAGGTTACTGAGGTTACTGAGGTTACTGACGTTACTGACGTTACTGAGGTTACTGACGTTACTGAGGTTACTGACGTTACTGAGGTTACTGAGGTTACTGACGTTACTGACGTTACTGACGTTACTGAGGTTACTGACGTTACTGAGGTTACTGACGTACTGAGGTTACTGACGTTACTGACGTTACTGACGTTACTGAGGTTACTGACGTACTGAGGTTACTGACGTTACTGAGGTTACTGACGTTACTGACGTACTGACGTACTGACGTTACTGACGTACTGACGTTACTGACGTTACTGACGTACTGACGTTACTGAGGTTACTGACGTTACTGACGTTACTGAGGTTACTGACGTTACTGACGTACTGACGTTACTGACGTACTGACGTTACTGACGTTACTGAGGTTACTGACGTTACTGAGGTTACTGAGGTTACTGACGTTACTGACGTTACTGAGGTTACTGACGTTACTGACGTACTGACGTTACTGACGTACTGACGTTACTGACGTTACTGACGTTACTGACGTACTGACGTTACTGACGTTACTGACGTAAGTGATGTTACTGATGTTAGTGATGTTAGTGATGTTACTGATGTTACTGACATTAGTGATGTTACTGACGTTAGTGGTGTTAGTGGTGTTAGTGATGTTACTGATGTAAGTAATGTGATGTTTGTGATGTTAGTGATTTGTGTGGTGTTTGTGTGTTACAGCTCAGATCTGGGACTGTACGGCGCTGCGCTGTGGAGAGACGCGCCTGTCAGACAGTAAGTGTCACTGTTCTGATGACTGTCTGAGAGCCGGAGACTGTTGCTCAAACTACAACAGTGTCTGTAAGGGTGAGTCTTCGTCATCTTCATATTCAGCATCTCTGTGAGTCTGTGCTTTGGGGACTTTGGACTCATTTTGGTTTATTGAGTTGGATTGGGGTTTGTATTTTCATTAAACCACACATACATACTCAAAACTACGCAGGCAGGTACAGTGTAAAAAAATATATTTTTTAAGTTTCTACTTCAAAATGTTTGTGATGCAGGAGACACGCAGTGGGTTCAGGATGAGTGTGTGGACATGAGCACAGCCAAATGCCCTGCCAGGTGACACACACACATACACACACTCACTCACTCACTCACTCACTCACTCACACACACACACAAACTCTCTCTCTCTTCACAGTCGAACTTTGCCATTTTCATCTCCTCTGATTTCGATGAGAAACTTCCAGAGAAAAAGTGACACTGCATTATCGTTACTCATGTGTGTTTTTGACCTATGCATCAATCTTTCCATATGAAGGAATTCCACTGACCAAAATAAACTAAAAAATAATAATAAGGACAGCAAAATCAGGCTAGAGACTAGCCATAATAAACGTGTGAAGCCTGACATGAAATTATAGTCCTGAAAATCTAATGTTTTGAAATGGTACAAAACAGAAGTTTGCATGTTTTTTATGTTTTGTATTATATTTGATGCATCAGGCTTTTATGGCTCATATAGTCTGATATAGCGAGAATATGAAGGAAAAACAGCTCAATTTTATTCAGAGACTCAAACTAAGCAAAACGTCTCAGGTTACGTATGTAACCCTGGTTCCCTGAGATGGAACGAGACGCTGCGTTGAGACGCGGTGGGAACGCCCCTGCGTGATTGCGTCGTGAAGCACGTGTATAATCCAGTCCCTCCAGAAAAACGCGATTATGCGATCGCTGAATTCAATGCATAATCAGCGAAAGTCCGCATATTTATGCGGGGGTTGCATTTTTTCAAATACTCCGCAATTTCGCCGCATAAATTGCTGATTTCCGCGCAAAATATGCGGGGCTTGCATGATTTCATAATCCCCGCATTTTCGCCGCAAAAAAGTCACATATATCTCAGCAGAAAGTTGGAAAATGTTGCATTTGCTTCACACGAGAGGCGAGCAGCCGTTTCCCCCTGTTGCCATGGGAACGTTATGAAGTGACGCAATTACGCGACGTGAACATCATCGAAAAGCTGTAAAACAGGAGCACACTTTATTTTTAAATATTTCATTTATTCGTTTTTACATAAGTTGTAGCATATTCCCCTAGCAAAGCTACAGAACTTGTTTGACTCATCAATGTTTTGTAAGTTTGATGTGTTTATTAAGGTCTTGTAACGCGTTGTGTCGGGAAGACAAATAGGGATATCTCACAGCTGGAGTTATTGCAGAGGCCAGACAGACTCACGGAGGCGATTGGCATCTCACAACTCGCACTTTATTCCCAAATCGAACTCGTAACTGTCTGTCACACGTTCTAACGTCCACATCGTTACTTAATAAACAAAATAAGATGAAGTAGCATCAAACAGAAATTACCCGCACACATGGGGTGTTCGAGGCGCATGACACACAATATAATACTGCAGACAGTTCAACACGGAGCGCAGCTCTTAAAGGAGCCACACCTTATTTCCACACTTGAAATAAAACAAGATGAGAAATTAAATATTTCCAGCACTTTCTGTGATGTAGTATGCTTGCTTATCATAGGAAGTAATAAGAAAGGACTCTTTACATTAAAGTAGTAGCCTAGTGAGAACAGGGTGTTGGGGGAATCACTTTTTTTTCTCTTTTTCATCAAACCGCAGTTTTTGCAAGTTCCCGCAATTTTTGCAAGTTCCCGCAATTTTTGCAAGTTCCCGCAATTTTTGCAAGTTCCCGCAATTTCATCGCAAAAAATTGCATAAATATCCCGCATATTCCATCGCATTTTTAAAGAAAACGGGCCGCGTAATCAAGGATTTTTGCCCGCAACAATCACAAAAAACTCCGCGTTTTTCTGGAAGGACTGATAATCAGTCCAATGGAGAGACGAGATGTCATAGGCGGGTGACGTCATCGACCAGGAAACTATAAAGCACACCTGAAAACAGACCGCGCTAGCTTCTGATAGGCCGAAGCAAGTCGATCACAGGCATGCAGGGAGTATGGCAGGGCGACGCAGCGTCTCGTTCCCTCTCAGGGAACCAGGGTTACATACGTAACCTGAGACGTTCCCTTTCAAGGGAACTCGAGCTGCGTCGAGACGCGGTGGGAACCCTATACCCACGACGCCATATGACAAATGCCTGTTCTGTGTGAAGTCCTTGCGCACACTAAGAAGCAAGCACCCTAGACCCCGGAGTGGAGCCTAGATCCAAGTCATAGCCTTTGAGGCAGCCATACTCCTAGTATCTTGGTCAGACGCCTCACAGTGCCACGAGGGAAACGTACTACAGGGTGTCTCCCCAAGGATACACCACTTAAAGGGACATGGTAAGCAGCTAAGGCTGCCATGTACACCTTTAGTGTTGAGGGGGATAGACCTGCGGAGAAACGCTCCTGCAGAAACTCCAGCACTGAAACCACAGGGCAGATAACTGGGTCCACCTGGTGCTCTCCACACCAGGAAGTAAACAATTTCCACTTCAAGGTGTAGAGTTTCCTCGTGGAGGGAGCTCTGGAGTTGAGGATGGTCTCAACAACCTCAGTTGAAAGACCTAAACTTATGAGCTGGGCCCCCTCAGAGGCCAAGCCCAAAGTTTCCACAATTCTGGGTGGGGGGAAGGATCAACCCGCTCGACTGAGAGAAAAAGTCCCCCCGAGCGGAATCTCCAGAGGAGAGCCGTCGAGGAGAGACTCAAGGTCCGAGAACCATACTCGGGCCTGCCAACACGGGGCTAATAACAGAAGAAGGGCCCCGTCCTGGCGAACTCTCTCCAGAACTCCCTGGAGCAGAGAGATCGGGGGAAATGCGTACAGACGTGACTCGGCCACGTCTGCATCATAGCGTCCAGCCCCAGAGGAGCTGGCTGACTGAGTGAGAACCATAGTGGACAGTGTGTGTTCTCTAAGATGCAAAGAGGTCTACTTCTGCTCGACCAAAGTTTTTCATAGGAGTTCCACCACCTCGGGGTGGAGTCTCCATTCCCCAGGCCTCGGCCTCTGCCTCGACAGGATGTCTGCTCCTGGATTACGTAAGAGACCACCGACGTGTTGTCTGTGCAGACAAGCACATGGTGACCTCTCAGGTCTGGCAGGAAGTGCTTGAGAGAGAGAGATCGAAACACCGCCATAATTTCTAGCTGATTTATGTGCCAAGAAAGTAGATGGTCCTGCCAAAGACCTTTCGCTGAGCGACCACTCATGATCGCCCCCCCAACCTGTGAGGGAAGCATCCGTCGATAGCTACGCGTCGACAAGAAGCCCCCAGCACTGGGCCTAGGGCAAGGAACCAAGGTTTGTTCCACATGACTAAGGCACGTAGGTATCGTCGCGTGACCTTGATCATGCGAAACGGATTTCCCCTCGGAGAAACCCCTTGGTCCCGAGCCACCACTGCAGGGGTCTCATGTACAGGAGGCCAAAAGTTATTACGTTGGATGCAGCTGCCATGAGACCCACCAGTCTCTGAAACTGTTTCGCAGTGAGTGACTGGCCTAGTTTTACCTAGGCCGAAGAGAAGAACCCGATATTTGTACACCTCGCCCCCGAAAGCGAACCTCAGGGACTTCCTGTGTGGAGGACGGATGGCTACATGGAAGGACGGGTCCTTCCATCTATCGTGACAAACCAGTCCTTGGACTGAATCTGTGACACAATCTGTTTGAAATCTAAGCATCCAACCTTCTTTGGAACAATGAAGTAACGGCTGTAAACCCCTGACTCCCTACTGGGAGGAGGAACCCTTTCTATAGCCTCCTTTCGCAGAAGAGTCTGTACTTCTTGCTCCATAGCCAGAGCCTGCTCGGGGTCCACCACGTAGGGAGGAAATCTAGGCGAAAGAACCGAACTGGATTCTGAAACCATTTCTATAGTGAGCAGGACCCAATGAGATATATTTGGCAGTAGCTTACACGCTGCCAGAAAATCTACTAAGGGTACCAGTCTCTCGAGACTGGCCTCTGGATTTAACCGAACAGTCACTTCGGTACCCTGAAGCGGATAACCGGCAGGGAACGACCGACTTGACTGTTCCACGACCCTCCTCGGAGGATCGTTTGGGAACGCTGACACCTCGGTGCCCTGAAACGGATAACCGGCAGGGAACAACCGAACTGGCAGTGCTGCGACCCTCCTCAGAGAGTCGCTTCCCAGGAATGATAACATAACCAGAGCCGGACCCAACGAGATATATTTGGCAGTAGCTTCCACGCTGCCAGAAAATCTACTAAGGGGACCAGTCTCTCGAGACTGGCCTCTGATATTGGTCGAACAGCCACTTCGGTGCCCTGTAACGGCGAACCGGCAGGGAAAACCGAACTGACTGTTCTACGACCCTCCTCGGAGGATCGTTTGGGGACGCTGACACCTCGGTGCCCTGAAGCAGCGAACCGGCAGGGAAAACCGAACTGACTGTTCTACGACCCTCCTCGGAGGATCGTTTGGGGACGCTGACACCTCGGTGCCCTGAAGCAGCGAACCGGCAGGGAACAACCGAACTGGCAGCGCTGCGACCCTCCTCAGAGAGTCGCTTCCCAGAGGGCGCAGAGGAGACACGGATTCTCGAACCCGTCTCTGCCCGGAGGGGGCCACCCTCAGAAGCCAGATAGCCTCGGCATCAGGACTTCTTCTTAGTCGAAGCCTACTTCGAGATTACGACTATCCTCAGATATGTCTTATCCAAAAATGACTATGGCTGAGACTACTAAAAGGAACCAGCCTCTCGAGACTGGTCTCCAGTATAGCTTGAGAAGCCAATCCGGCGTCCAGAAACGGATGACCGGCAGGAATAACCGAACTGACCCCTCTTAAACCCCCCTTCTGCGAGTCAGACACTGAGACTAGAACTCGCTGGAGGGCACCGAAGGGAGATGTGCACCATATAATGAGGTGTTATCCATTTCCTCTTGGGAACAACCATTTATTTCCTCAGAAATAAATGACTCCTCAAAGATCAGATGAGTACATATTTAATTTTCTCAATTAAATACAGCCAAATATCAACCAGACAAGTAATTACGGTCTGGATGAAAAAGCTGAATAGTATATTAATACAGACATTTAACTCCAGGATAAAATGAATACATATTTAATTTTCTCAAAAATTAAATGTAGCCAAATATCAACCAGACAAGTAGAAACGGTCTGGATGAAAAAGCTTAAAGCTGAATAGTATATTAATATAGACATCTAACTCCAAGGATAAGATGAGTAGCTATATATTTAATTTTCTCAAAAATTAAATGCAGCCAAATATCAACCAGACGAGTAGAAACGGTCTAGTTTAAAGGCTGAATATAGTGTATTAATATAGACCTCATATTATAATCTCAAACAATAAAGAATACAAAATTAGTTTCTTCCCTCGAGAAGAAAGCCAACAAGAGCAGAGCTAAAACTCTCGATAGTGCATATGTTACACGTCGGGAATTTATGAATGAAATTCTCACACATACATACACACACTATATAGTTTAATAATATGTCTTAACACAAACCAGAACGTAAAAAACTTGTGCAAAACACTACATGTAAATACAAACATAAATTGGCCCATTTTTAAGCCGTTTTAACTAGCAAAATAGTTAATAAAAGAGTGAAGTTTTAAGATATAGTATATCATTAGATTTATGCTGTGTTTATGACCTTACACTGTAAAAAAACTTTAACCCAGTAAAATGTAAAAGTTCAAATTAATTTCTGCATTAAAAGATGTCTGATCAAAAAGTGAAATCATCACAATCATTGACCACTTTGAATGAGAAATGAATCACTACACCACTGAATCAATTCAATCATGAATCATTTAAATGAGTCACTGCAACACATCATGGTGAATCAAATGAGCCGTATAAAGGCAGTGATGTGATTTTCTCTCTCCTCCTGGTTTGATGACTAAGATTACTAGGAGATTTTTGGTTGGTAGTTTTTTAGTTGTTTATTGATGTGTGTGTTTGTGTGTTTGTGTAGTTTTAAGAGGCAGCCGCTGCTGTTGGTTTCACTGGATGGTTTAAGAGCCGAATATCTGCAGACGTGGAGCTTACTAGTGCCAGTGCTGGAGAAGATCAGTGAGTCTCTCTCTCTCTCTCTCTCTCTCTCACACACACACACACAACACACACTCACAACACACACTCTCTCACACACACACGCGCACGCACGCACGCACACACTCTCACACACACAGACACACACACACTCACAACACAAACTCACAACACAAACTCACAACACACACTCTCTCACACACACTCACACGCACACACACACACACACAGACACACACACACTCACAACACACACTCACAACACACACTCTCTCACACACACACACACGCACGCACGCACGCACACACTCACACACTCTCACACACACAGACACACACACACTTACAACACAAACTCACAACACACACTCTCTCTCACACACACACTCACACGCACACACTCACACACTCTCACACACACAGACACACACACACTTACAACACAAACTCACAACACACACTCTCTC